TTTAGGACGTCTTATAGTACAACCATGCCCTGTGATTAAAGTCAATGGAAAATTACAGCAACCCAATTCTGATATGACTGCTAATGGCCCAGACCCTTCAGGAATGAAGGTTTGGGTCACCCCACCAGGCAAAGAACCAGGACCAGCTGAGGTGCTTGCTGAGGACAAGGGAAATACAGAATGGGTGGTGGGCGAAGGTAGTTCTGAATATCAGCTACGACCACGTGACCAGCTGCAGAAACGAGGACTGTGATAGTTATATTTCTTCATTTTATATGTGCATCAAATATTTTTGTTTCCTTCTGTTATGAGCTGTGAAATGTAAATAAGATTAATGCATTTTGGTTGTATGTGTGTTAATGTATCATGTTAGGCACAAATATGACTCTGTAATTGTTCTTATTTGGAGATTATATATGGTTAATAGGATTTGTACAACTGCCAAGTTGACAAGAGGTGGACTGTGATAGTTGGAGCTATATGTCAACTTGGCTGGAACTCAGTTCTGTGTAGTTGTTCCCATGATGGGATCAGATGACTGCGTTCTGAGTGGTCAATCTGACTAAGGGGAGTTTCCCTAGGAGTGTGGCCTGCTTCCGGGATATCCAGGGACATCCTGGGAAGAGAGACATTCTTTGAGGGACTGGAACCCTGGTGTGCGGACTACAACCTTCCGTGAGTGAGCAGCCCACCGCTTGGCCTGGAGATCTTGGATTCATCTTTTGTTGGAGTCAACAACCAGTGTGCTGCCTGTCAGCCTTGAATTTCTTGGCCTCTTGCATTTGCGGAAGCTAAGGCTGCCACCAGTCCAACGTTTCCTCCAGGGACTTTGGACTTGCCGGCTTCTATACGTTTGTGAGCCATTTTCCTAAGATAAATTTTTTTTTCTCTCTCTCTCCCTCTCTCCCTCTCTCTCTCTCTCTCTCTCTATATATATACCCTTTGCTGGTTTTTGTGTTTCTCTAGAGAACCCAATCTAACACACCATTTATCTTGCCTCTCTGCACAATCTCTCTCACTTTCAAAGGTCTGCCTGTCCTTCAAAATACAGCAAAATGTTCCTTTCTACCCACAGCCTTCCGTAGTTCTTCCTCTCTTAGATGTAGACTGTAGAACATTTTATTTCTACTTCTCATAAGCCTTTTATATTGTAACATATTATTTGGGTATACGTCTAAATACACTAAGATTTGAGGAAAAAATTGCTGAGAAATCATTTTTTTCTAAATCCACTTTGACAGCCAGCAGCAGAAAAAGAGGCTGACAAGGTTAACTTATTTTGTTATTATTCCTTACTTCCTTTAGCTGCAGCCTGATATCTTTTCAAGAATCACTTGTTTCAGCAGACACTATCCATTTTTCTCAACTAGATTGAAAACTAACTTTTAGTCAATTCAACACATTATTTTTATGTTCTATTTCTCAAGTCCAGGAATAATAAATTTATAAATTTGCTTTTACCAAAAATTTAGAATTGCAATTAGATTATGTGTGTGTGCGTGCGTGTGTGTATGAGTGTAAAACCACAAGATGCAAGCTTCATATTTCCTCTTACCATTTGGAGGTAAGAGTCTCTTTCTTTAATGTGATGTCTCATTAATGCTGGGTTGATTTGTTTTATAGAGAGAATGTTATAGTATCATATCATGCTAATTTTTTCTCTTCATATTTTAACAACTCTCTGCTGTGATTGTGAGAAAGATAAGGTTGCTGAGCCCTATAGTCATTCACTCACTTTCTGACAGAAAACATTCATGATATTCCTCAGAGCCTGGTTAATGAGCTCTGGTGGCATAGTAATTAAGGTGTTTGGCTGCTAACCAGAAGGTAGGTGGTTCAAACCTACCACTGCTTCATGGGAAGAAGATGAGACAATCCACTTCCATAAAGTTTTACAGCCTTGGAAATCCAATGGGATTCACTATGAGATGGAACTGACTTGATGTCAGTGAGTTTCTTCTAAGAGTCCAGTTGTACATCCAAAGAATATTTACTTTCTCACGTTTAAAAGTATAATGTTTAGATAATAGAGAGTATATGTAAGTAGAGCATTTATGTTGATATGAACTCAACAAAAACTCATAGTGACCACTTCTTGGGTTTCCGTGACAGTATCTCTATGGAAGTAGATTGCCTAATCTTCCTTCCAAGGAGTGGCTGGTAGGTTTGAACTGTCAAATGCCTTACTCACTACACCACCAGCACTCCTTAATATGAACTAGGATTGATAATTCATGTCCATGTTTTCATGGTGAATATCTTTAAACAACTTTAAATTAATCTTACCTTTTGAGAATCAAACTCAGTGGTACTTGGATTTTCTTCCTTTCTTGACTCGACTTTAGATCCCTCGTTGTTTCCAGGCACACTTTGTTGAGGCTTTAGGGAGGAAAACAGATTATTTAAAACCAAGACAAATAGGTTCAGCATATAAATCCATATGGTTGTTGTAAAATAGGACATAATGGCAGCAGTATGGCAACAATGCACATGAAAAAGAATGAAGGAGAGATTTATCAGAGACCTTAACAATCTTTATACCTTCAGCAACTCTTGGAAATTAAATGAAACAATTCCTATTCAATTTTGTATTAGTGGTGTTCAATGGGATTATTTTCCCATTCGAAATATATATTTCATGCAAAATAACATTTAGGTTAAGTACTCTAGTCCTCAAGAAGCAGTAATCCTATACTTTCTCATTATTTTAAAAGCCAAATAAATCTGAGAAGTAGCAAGTGTACATTTTATTTTCTGAATGATACAGAAAATGTCTTATAACATCAAACTGTATTTTAAATAGAGCATTATATTCACAGCAATACTTCACTGAGCAATCAAGCTCTGTTTCATAATTTAAAACTGATATAGTCCCCTAGAAACACTAAATTTTATTCTAAAATCTATCTTTTTAGGAATGCTAAATTAAAAATGGAGGTTTTATTTAGCTTTTGCTAGGGGAGGGTATGCCATGATTAATCTATGAAAATATTCCTACTATAAGCAGGTCTAAGATGATCCACTTAAATTTGTATGTATTTCTTTATAGAGCTGATTTGAATATGGTGCTATTCCTATTAACCTATGAAGATACTAGCCGAGGACTGAAATAAAGTAACTCTGTGTATATTATCTTGTGTTTGAAATTTGATCCCAGTGAATCCCAGGGGAGGAGGAGAAAAAGATTCTAGCCATTGGTTGCCTAGGAAGACATTTTGGATCACAATGCCCACCCAGTTTTCCACCAAGGCTACTTTCTATACAAGAGCTGACCTGGTTTCCCATGGGCAATTATATTCCTAGGAAAGAAAATAATCTTACAGAAATAATATTTTATTATAATAAAAACAAAGGATACATAATGAAACTGATAAAATCTTAAATATGGAAAAGGGCATTCATAATAAAATTAGTACAATATCAGAGCAAAAAATGAAAATAGCTCTGGTGGCATAGTGCCTAGGGCATTTGACTGCTAACAAGAAGACTGGAGGTTCAAACCCACCAGCCACTCTTCAGAAGGAAGACTGGGCAATCTATTTCCATAGAGATACTGCTTGAGAAACCCAAGGAGTCACTATGAGTCAAAATCGACTTGGTGGCAGTTGATTTTTTTTTTTTTTTTTTGGTTTACATAAGTCTATCAGATATTCAGCTCCAGGAAAAATATATAAACAAACAAACAGATAAATAAGTAAAATTCTCATTCTTTATATTCAGACAGGTTCAATTTGGTTGTGTGAGTCCCAGAAGGCAGTAACCACCTTCCCCCTCTTACTCTTTTCCATCCTTTTCTTGCTAGTTTAGACCCCTGCCTTTTGATATCTCCTCTGGATTTTCTCTGTGAAAAAGAATGACAATTAAGCAGGAAACCCAAATATCTTCTTTCTAATCCAACCAAATCTCTTTGATTAGCTTTGGACATTATCTGTAATAAAATAAGGCAGGACTGTTTACTACATGCTGTTGGTGGTTACAAAGACGAGAAAAGCATAGTTTCTGTGACCATACAACCAAAACATAACCAAACTCACTACCATAGAGTCGACTCTAAGTCATAGCGACCCCCTTTGGGTTTGTTGTTGTTGTTATATGCCATCGAGTCGTCCCTGACTCATAGTGACCCCTCCTTGGGTTTCCAAGGTGGTATCACTATGGAAGTAGATTGCCCAACCTTCCTTCTGAGGAGTGCCTGGTGGGTTTGAACCACCAACCTTCTGGTTAGCAGTCAAATGCCTTAGGCACTGTGCCTCCAGAGCTTATTTGCATAAATAACTGTAGTATAAAGCAGATTAAATAAAAGAGGACACAAAAAGAATTGTATATATTTTGAAATGATAGAGTTCAAATCCATTTGAGATAATAAAAATAGGCATGAAAAAGATATCTTTAACACAAATCTTTAAATGATTTAGGCAAGATGCAGAGAGGGCATTCTTTGTGAAGGAAGCAAAGTAAAGATAAATTGACCTATTCTTTTATAAACAGGGGGATCCAAAATTTAACAAAAAGATTGAACTTAATTTAATAATTAATGGGGACCTCTTTGTATATTTTAAAGTGAGGTGTAACTTCTCTGGAGCCTGTATCAGCATGTGTCAACAGTGTGTAGGCACCAATGAAACAGAAAAGCCTTAGGATGAAGGAATCAATAATGGGGCAATTACAATGACCAGGTAGATGTTAAGAAGGCTGAACACAGGTGTCAGTAATGGAGATCTAAAAGAAATTGGGCACCGATTACATGGTGGGAGTAAAGATTCCAACCCTCTGCTGTCAAATTGATTCCACCAGAGTTTCTTGAGACAAAGTTTTAAACTACATAATTTGAAGAATTCTACATAAATACAAAAAGCTAAAGACAGGGCACATTTGAAGCAAGGAGGGTGATTTTATATTAGTAATAGAAATTTTAAAGTTCTTGGGATTGCTAAATAGATATGGCTTATTAGTGATAGTTTATAAAAAGTCATTAACAAAAGTCATGACAGCCATTTCTTCTACGTAAAACTTACTGAACACCCAGCAACTTTCTTCCATACAGAATCTCCAAATTAGACATGCTTTGAGGAAACAAGGTGCTATAGTGATGCAAAGGTCTGTGGCTTGAACCTGCCAGCCACTCAGCGGGAGAAAAATGAAGCAGTCTGTTTCTGTAAAGATTTGGTCTTGGAAACCCTTTGGGGTTCTACTTGGTCTGTAGTGGCACTACGCATTGGAATTGACCTGATGATAGTGTGTTTGGTTTCATTTGTTTTGAAAAAATAAAGTTAAAAAGAGCAAGAGAAATAAATAAACACTAACAAAAGGATAATCTCCCCTGACATTTACAGAAAGCAATGCTGCTGTTAAAATAAATTTAAAGATAGATTAAATCTACTTATTGCAAGAGAGCAATTTTACTTGTATTTTGTTTCTGTTGAACAATCAGATAACTGAATACATAGTCCCAACATTTCCTTATAAATTTAATTTATTGCATAATAGTATTACAGAAAATTGAAAAATAAAACTCATCCATTATTCTAGCAATAGCTATTTTTATTTCTCTATGTTATTTCCTAATCTTTGTTCCTATTCACAGGAATGAATATTTAACATAGTCAAAATTATAGTGCCTACAGCATTTTTACTTTCCTTTTAAATGTACAAAACACAACAGTATCAAGTCAATTCCAGCTCACAGCAACCCTATATAACATATAAAAGGTGCTATATAGGCTTTACACACACACACACACACACACACACATACATATCAAACTTGCCTAAATAATATTTCATGGAGTAATTTTCAAAAAATAAATGTATCTTATGATTGAAGATTTTAGCTTTTTCACTTTGAGGTTATAAAGATGATGTGATGAACATCAATCTTCCAGGTACCAGCCTTTGTGATAATTTATATCACCCTTTCCATTGATTTAAACATCTAACTCTCCTCATAAGCTGGATACTCCTAAGAGTAGGACCATGTCCCTTATTCATCACTGCATCTTCTGAAGCTAGGAGATATTTTAAACTTGGTATGTGTTTGCTTATTTGTTTTACCTTTCCATCATTGATTTAGAATATAATCCATAGGATGAATAAAAGTTAAACGTTAAAGATCAGTACCAAACCAAAGGAAATGAACACATTTATAGTTATAGGAAAGTTTTCAAATTGTGACAATTTGAATTATTTCCAGCGATGTCAATAAACATTTATTGAGCATCCACTCAGGGAAAGCATTGTGTTTGGAACTTGAGAACAAAGGTTAAAACAGATCTTGAAAGCTCCAATTTGTTTTGTATTCACTGCTTATCATTCCCTCTAACCTATCTAATAGTCTGTGATTTCTTTCTAGAGGGTTACCTTTTTCTCAAAGCACGATTATCCCAAATATTTTTTGGTTTATCAAATTCCCTGTCCTACCCAAGATATGGGTAAATGACCCAAATTAGGCCACTGAATGCTCCATGGATATTGGCCAGCCTAAGGTGAGGCTACCGATGTTTAGATACATTCATTTCAGCAGAGTGTCACTCAAGTTGTTACTAAAATAACAGTTCTTATGGTCCATGCTTCACAGTCTTCTGGAGCAGCCTCTGTTTCTGCCTGTCCCAGGCTTCTTTCTTCCATTTTTCCTTAATACTATGAGCTTCTGATGTTCTATCCACAAATCCTATTTGTTTAATTTGGTCAGGGTCAATGTTGCATGTAACCAAAGAGACCTGGATTGACCCAGGGAGTCACACCACTAAACTAAAATTGGCATCGTGACATCAGCCATGGGAACCAACAAGAAGGATATCTAACCTGGCTAGGATAGCTCAAAATAGTAACCCAACTCACCAATGGTGGACTGTTCATTTCAAAGTATGTGTTTAATATAATTGTAAAATGCAATTATTTTGTTATTTAGTATGTCTCTAATCACTATTAGAATGAGGCATTTTCATATTTGCTAATTAATTATACTCTCTTAGGAATAAATTATTCATTTATGGAAATTCTCCCAGTTTTTTGTGGAGAGTCTGATATAAGAAATATGCCAAGAATAAAAGGATAGATTCCTTATTTGCTCTTCTCTCTCTTATTCTCTCTCTCTCTTGCTTTCTTTCCTTCATGTATTTATTCGTGTTGCTTATTCATGTTTATATGTACATATTCATTTATTCTTGTGGGTCCTTAATACTTCAAAGGATAAGAAGGGGCTTAATTCACTACTTAGGTCACAAAGAGCAGAAAATAAAGGAATGACAGTAAACTTTTTCTCTTCCCTAAATTTGCCAGGGACTACCTAAGTGTTAATCTATTAAACAGCTGGCTTCCCTGGTTTGTCAATCCATATATCAATTTTGAAATTATCCATTTAATTTCACTTAGGGAAAAAA